CCCCCCGGTCTTTGCCAAAAAAAAGTTCAGGTTTTCTTTCCGGACCCCACTAGCATCCCTGAATTTATCATATTATAAAATTACCAAATAAGTTCCACCATGACTTGTGTTTACAGCCAAGTCTCAGAAGTATCTGGAAAGTGTCCAGGAAAACGCTGCCCTGAAGATTCAGACATCGTGGAAGGGCCATAGAGCCAGAAAACAGCTAACAGAGAGACAGGCAAATATGAAGAGAGTCAGAGCTGCAGTGGCCATACAGAGAAAGGTAAAGGTCACTGTAAGGTCAAGTCAATGCCAGGAAGTATAACTTAAATAGTGATTATACTCTGATTTAATAACTATTGATAAAAGAAAAAGTATAATGTGATTGTATAGTGCACCAAATGAGATCACTGAAATATATATATATATATAGAAATGGAATTGTAGATAAATGTGAAAAACACTTTTCAATTAATTTACTCCACAGTTCAGACACTGGTCTGCAAGAAGAGAGAGAAAGAAGAGGGAGCCACTGGCGTTCCAGCGCCCTCCTGGTCTGACAGATGAGAGGAGGGTGGAAATTCAACAACACATTACAAGGTGGAGGGAAGACCACCCTGTACGTAGATCAGTTTTAGAAAAGATAATATCAGTCTTAGATTAATGATGCTTCATGATAGTAATCACTGATGGCTTCATGATGGCAGAAAGTTATGAATACCTGGAAATTAAAAATACAAAAACGAAAAGAAAATATTAGTTCACCCAGCGCTTATGCTGGTAGTACAATAATAATGAAATGCTGCCTATTGATATAAATGCAATGTTTGGAATTTATGGGAAATTACAGTTGCATATTATTTGCTTATACATTTATGCCTAACTGTCTGTCTGTCTGTCTGAAATTGAAACTATAATGTTATAGACAAAATGCAAGACAAGGGCTCAGCAAGAAGAAATCCACAACAAAGCCCAGGAGCTTATCCAGAGGAACCAGATGTTGAACAGGGTGACACGCAAGAAACATCTAGAGAGAGAAGCCTTACTGGCCATGATAGAAACTGACTGTGATCTACTACTCAGTGAGTATGAAATTGCGGTAAATAGTTTTAATTATTATTTTATTTTTATTTTTTGCTTGTTGATGGGAGAGGCAACTGATAAAATGCCAAAAAATGTATCTTAAAGCATATAATGGCTATGCAGTCAGTAACAACGTAAAACAGTCAGTCATATTTGAAAAAGCATTTTATAATAAGACTGAGGGCTGTATCTGAAAGTATTACATTTACAGATGCTACCAGTTTGAAAGACGTGACCGAAAAGGACATTGATGTGTTTAGTTCCAAGTCTGTCCCCATAGCAACCAAAGCTAGACTTAATCACCAGCATGAGTTAAGGTTACTACGGCAACCATGGTATAGAAAGCTGGGAGATGAGTTTAAAGAGACTGAATATGAGGGAGAAGAAGAGTTGTTCTAAGTCAGCTGATGCTATGAAAGATGGATTCCTCATATACAAAATTAATATCTTTATAATGGAATTAAAACTTCTGCCGTCCAGATAGCTGTTTTATATACTGTATTTCACACAGTTGTGGCCTCAACCGTGATGAATGTTTAGTCTTTTTTTAAGTCCTGTATTGAAACATTTTTTAAGCATTCCAAAAATGCAAAACGAATCAACTGTACTAATGCATCGTTCTAGCAACATAAGAACCACCGTACCACGCGATGTGGGAGCTTGTCAATGAGTTAAAACGGGGGCCACTATTATTTGAACTACGGCTGTGTGACAGTTTCAACATTCTGATATGTGTGTATTTATAATTGCTTATGCGTTTGTTTACTTTTGATAAAGCAAAATAAATATTTTTCTTATGCCAATGTCTTTAAGTTGGTTTTGATAATTATTTTCCGTAAGGAGTACCAAACACTTACAGGTGGTCATTGTAAGACTAAGATGAAAGTTCTATGGCGTAGTTCAAAGCAGTCGTGTAACGAGAAAGTGCTAGTGTTACAGTATAGATTGTTACAAAATAGATTGTTATAATTGTTACTTATAGTTTCAATACCAAGCTTGAAGACAGATCACATTCTCAGCAGTCCTTTTATACACGGATTGCCTTACGTGTAGTAGTTCAGCAGCCACTTATGTTTCGCTAATTTCAATGCAACGTCAGAATTCTAAATCCACAACTTTCTAGTTTCTACATCAGGGCAAACGGCAGTTACTTGTAGGTCACATCATTATACAATACTTATCACATTAGGGGGAAAACTTCAGATTTTTAGTTTGCGATAAAATTGTTATTTTGTTCCCACGAGCACTGTCATCGTAACAGTTATTTCAGTGAGTGTAAATTATGGGACCATTCCCAGACCCAACCGTACTAACTGTGGATCTATCTCCGAGGGGATTCTCGCTAAATTGCTTTCAACTAAAGCGGCTTAGATGTCTGTCACGCCGACTGAAGCTGCTAGGGGGTAATTAATTATCGTTTAGCAGCTTCAGTAGGCGTGCCAGACATCTAAGCTGCTTAAGCTGAAAGCAATTTAGCGAGAAACCCCTAGGAGATGGATCGATCCTGTTAGATCGATCTAGGTATGGGAACCCAGTCTATGCTTCAACATGTTTGAACTGGCGGCGCAGCGACTCGAAGCAATATGCTGCAGTCTGAGGCCTATCAGAGTAAGAGCAGTGCCGGAGGCGAGCATTGGGGCTGTTTTAGAGGAAGTTTCCATAATATTAGTCGCTAAATTTGACCAATAAATACTTAAACCTCCCAGTAGCTCCCCCTTTAATTGACACGCAAGGCACTTCGCCAATAGTATTCACAAGGCCCCCAGTCAACATCTTGTTAAAGTATCGTATTGTGTCATTACCCAACTAAATATAGGCTACATATGATAAAGATAATATAATTCCTGAATAAAGTGCTGAAAATATAAATATTGTGATCAAAACTCATGGCTGTAAGATACATGTTTATATAATACGTGATGCTTGTTTGTAGAAAAGAAGAGATAATATTGAAACAGAATTAATTCACCGACGTTATTTTTTTGGCTGTGACCCCAATAACTCTAAGCTAACAATCGGTGCCTCTCATAGCTCCATGGAGCTGGTTATAGCTACCAACGGTTTGTATTATAGAAGGAAAGTTGATATAAAATGTTTGGATTCAAGAGCGGCAGCTGGGATAGCACCCCCCCCCTCCAATGGCGGATTTAGGGGGGGGGGGGGGGTCAAAGGGGGTCCTGAATTTTGAATAATAGTTCCAAACCGTACCAAATGGCACCGTTCGCCCTCTACAACACCAATTTTTTTCGGGGCCCTTCAGCTTGTCCCGAACCATACGCCAAGGGAGGGGGGTCGGCTTCGGATCCTCGGAGCCCCCCTTCAAATTATCCTGGATCCGCCCCTGCCCTCTATACCCCCTGACCTGTCTCTAACCCGAAACGACAAGATATGTAGATCGCCTTCAAACCTGAACACATTATTGCATGATATGGTGCTGCATATGATGAATTCTGTATAAACTTCTATGGCTAATTTTGCATGCTGCTGGTATTATTTTTAAACACTGCATATTTTTCCATGAACATACATCCACCCAACTGCAGAGTATTACAGAAGACTGCTACACCAGTACTTTATGTCAGTTTCAAATGGCCTTCAGAGTGATTCTGTTTGTTTGTATGATAGGATTTCTGTGTCAGATTTCGGCAGATAAGATCGAGTTAGGTGAGTATATTAAACCTCGCTTTATTGTCAATAATATGATTGACATGATGTTTCTTTGGTGCCTATATTAAACCATTTTGTTTTTCATATCGGAATACCAATGAAGTGTGAAAATGTCATTATTATGAATACGAAATATTGTTTTGGGGAAAAAACCCCTATGCTTGAAAATGACAATTGTGATACAGGGTTTTCCCTCCCCACTTTATTTAG